TAATAATAAAATTATACTTTATTATTATTGAATTATAATCTTATAATAAAATTACATATTTATTATATAAAATTCTTTAATTAAATACTATTATTAAAAATTCCAGATCTCATTCTAGCTGATCACGTTATAAACACACTGTTATTTTTCTTTAGATTCGTTTATAATCATAGTTTAATGCTTGATATATTATATAAATTTGATTATATTATACTCTTTCACTTATTATTCTTAATAAACTTTACTATAATTACTCTGGTCAAGTAACTTATTATAATGTTATTAAGCACTCACCAACTCTTTCAAGAACTCATATAATATGGTAACAATATTAACTAATAAAATTTGGTATCTATATACTTGAGTAAATATGATTTGCTATTTCTTATTATATTAAAAAAATTATTTTTTTAAAAATAAAATTTAAGCTAGAAGTATTTGTTAAGAAAATAATAGTAAAACAATGATAATATTTATTAAAAAAAAAGATAGTTGAAGAATTTATTATAAATAGTTAAAAAACTTGTAAAATATATAAAAAATTAATTAAGAAAGATTAGCAAAAAGTAAAACAAAAAGATACTTGATTTATTTAGAAAATCTTTCAAGAAAACAATAAAGTTTTACATATATATGATTTACATCACGTGAGAACTGCTCTGCTTTAGCCAACCACTTTTTTGCCTCGGCTGAAATTTGTTATTCTTAATTAGTAAACGCTCCCCGGAGATCATAAATGTTTAACAACATAAAAATTGTCCATCTAATATGAATAATTGGGGGGTTGGCGCAATGGTAGCGCGTCCGCCTCCAGAGCGGAAGGTTGGGTGTTCAAATCACTCACTCCCCATTATTTTTCAACGATTATTTATACGAGTTTTAAAGCACATTATTACATTTAATTATTAATTTTAGAGAAATAAAAAGCCAATTATTAGAGAAACAAAAAAACCAATTATTAGAGAAATCAAAAAACCAATTATTAGAGAAATCAAAAAACCCTTGTTATACTTTTTTACTTTTTTTCTTTTTTCCACTCGATGAATTCACATCATTAACAACAATACCATTTTCTAATACATCACCGCTACTATTAATGCTTTTCGGTTTCTTTTTCTTTTTTGATTTCTCAATTGTTGGGTTACTATCAGTATCTTGATCATTATTAACGACCTTTTTTTTCTTTTTCTTTTTTGTCATTGATAAATTATTATTACTATTAGAATTGTCTATGGATTTTTTCTTTTTATGTGAATTCTCATTTGAAGGTTCGTCTTTTGAATTGTTCATCGTAGTTGCAATATTTGGTGGTAATTTGAAATATTGTAAAGATTCCGAAGGTGATGTCGAAGTTATTGTTGTAGTATGAATTCCCCAAGATGAAGAAGAGGCAGACGATGATAAATCTTCAAATTCGAGAAATGATTTTGGATGATGAAGATGTAAAGGATGACTCTGTCTTTCTGTAGTTGACTTGAGATTAAAATATAAGATAAATTACCAAGAAAATACTTGCATACACAAAATAACCTTCGGAAATAAAAGACCATATAATACCTTATTATCCTTATCATTATTCCCATCTTTATAATCAACAGAAAAATCATGAGTTGAAGAATCTCCTTGCTTCGAAATATCATCATTATTGAGTGACTCGTCTATTGTCGGTAATACTTCTTTTTTATGCTGAACATTCTCATCCACCCACGGATTATCATTACTTTCACCAATCTCCTCATATCCATTGTTAGGTCCAAATGACGCAGAAACACCTGTGTATCCTCCCGACGACATATCAAATGATTGGTTACCTCGGAATCCATCATCATGTTCTATGCTATTACGTATAACAGTAGAATGCGGTGTAGTAAATTCGTAACCACCATGCGAGTCAGATGACGACCGACGACGTTCAAGTAAACTAATTCGTTTTGCAACTGCAGCCGAATCATAATTATAATCGTTATCATCATCACTACTCATAGCGTTTGAAATGCTTCCTTGACGACTACGAAGCCATATCTCCGGTAACAGATCACTACTAAAAGATGGGTTTTTATATGGTTTAGGAGGATTTGAATTATTCTCCGTTTTTGCATCATCATCATCATAATCGACTCCAACGAGATCTTCGTCACGAGCAACCATCAAATTAACATCATCCTCTTCATCATCTTCGTCTTTTTTAGGTTCAACTGGTAAGGAAATTAGCACAGGATTATTATTATCAAGAGTATCATCATCGAAAAAATCATCTTGTAACTGCCCGGCGTTAAATTCATCGATAGTTGCTACATCGGGAGTAACTTGTGCTATTATTGTTGTAATTTGTTGATTAGAAGGTGATACGGGTGAAGATGTAGTATTAACGGTGCTACAAATTATTTCTGTTGATCGTTTTGGTGAAATTGATTTCTTTGGTGTATTATCTTTATTTAATTGTAAAAATTTTTCATTCATTAAGTTTTGCATTAATATATGAATAAAAGAAAATGACATACCAGACACTTTTTGAAGCACCAAATCTTCATATTCTTTATCCCATAAATTCTTCATCACTTCCTGTCCCTTTTCTTTTTCCTGTTCTAATCTCACGTTATCTTCAACATCTTCAACATCCTCTATAAAAATTGATCGATCGCTAAATTAATTCTTCAATTATTAAAAAAAGTCTCGAGAAGTTTACCTTGATCAAGTGAAGAAGGTTCAATTTGTCGTTTCCGAATATTATTCGGGATCACATCGCTATGATCAAGCACACCTAGCAGATCAACCAATTCCTTCGTTTTTAATTCTAATTGTTGACGAAGTGTATTTCTCTATTATGAAATCAAATCAAATAATTATTTGCGTTAGGAATAATGCTTTTAAACATTCATCAATCATATCAAAGATATCATAGTACCTGCAACTGTAAAAAAGGAACCCCAAAATATCTATAAATATAATCTAATCCGAATCCAGTAACCATGCTAGCCTCGACATACCGAACGGTATTCGCAGATGGGTACTCAGAAGTTCGTAGTCGATTGCAGTCGGCGATTGCTTGATATATTTGCATTTGATCAACTGTACGTTGAGCGCTATTTTTTTTATTACATATATTTATATTTATGTTTTTATATATATATATATATGCTAAATGCCTCTAATTTCATGTAAGGGTTTTCTTTTTACAGCTTCTATACATAAATACCTACCTACCTGAGATCACCAAAATTTCCCTAAAATCAATAAAAATATCTCTATGTTTATTCATCCATTCAGAGGAACATAACAAGACTGATAACATTTTATAGTAAAATATGTACCAAAAGCAAGATTGCCAAATGTCCCGGAACACGTTGAATTTCTTTTATAGCGTAATCAAAAGTCCATGTTTTCGTGATATCAAAGATTAAGATCACCCCATGTGTATTTCGATAAACGTCTATTGTGGCAGCGTCAAGAGTGTATTCTTGATTAGATGCTGCTGAATGTGGTGTTGGTGATGCCGCAGCTGATGTTGGTGGTGTTAATGTTAGTGATGCTGTGGATGCTGTGGATGTTGTGGATGTTGTGGTAACTTTAAAAAAACTTATTAATAGAGATTTTTTGAATACAAATAAAAAGTTCAAATCTCACCATTTTCTATTTTTAATCCAACACTGTTATTGGTAGTAGTAGTCGTGGATGAATTAGGAGATTTAGTGCTCGGCTTCGACAAATTTAGTCCTTTATCGACAACATCCCAAATTTCCACTTTTATCACATCATCGGTATTTTTGTATATCCATTGGATATTAGTCACTTGTATTTGCGGTGTTGGCGTGTATTCTTGATTAAATGGGTCTCCTTGTAAACGATGAACTATTTTAAGAAAATATTTAAACGCGATCGAAATCAAATTTTGGAAAAATCATTCTATCTTTCACTTCAACTCACACACTTACATAATGTAGACTTTCCAGTTCTAATATCACCCCGAATAATAACTTTCACTATTTGTTAAATTGCAATAAAAACCGTCCATAGTGAGACCAAAGACCCGAAAAAACAAAGAAAATCGCATTTAACATTATCTTTTCAAAGCATACTATTATATTTCACGCCTTTTTGAAACTTTGGCGACATTGGTTTAAAACTAGAACTAGTATTAACAGTTGTTGCAGAACCATCTTGATGGAAAGTATATGGTTTCGCTTGTTCGTTCCCCTAATAAAATAATAATAATAATAATAATAAGTACCCAAAGAAAATCTAAATCTCTTCAAAGAAAAAGAACTTATTTACCATATTTTCGACTCAAAACGAGATGATCGATATAACTTACAACTCTGGTGCTCAAGCTCTAAACTCGACTCGACTTTGAGACCCTAAAACTCGGCGTATATATAGGCAATATCTCAAAAACTCACTGTATAGTAATTTTATTTTTATTGCTTGGGATAAGTTCTACAGTCACTTGCTGACAAAATTATTAATATAAACTGGAATCACGTGACTTATCCCATTTCAAAGTCCAAAGTCGATTTTTGACACTTTTCTCTTAATGCATAGTTCTCTAACGTGAAATGCAATTTGATTGGTCGATCACACAAGTCACGTTTGTGTCCCATAAGTCCAGTGTTGTCACTTGGACGTGAATCCAGCAATTTGATTGGTTGGGACAAGTGTCCTAACCAATCAAATTGCTGGATTCACGTCCAAGCATAACGATAAGTCAAAAATAATTTTATTTCTATAATTGTTATTACATGTGATTCGATTTTTCAGGTTAGTTCGATCATCGACTTTGATAGTGATATATACACACCCCTACAGTATATTACCGGAAATTGGTCGTGCAAAATGCCGATCCAAAGTTTAAAAAGCCAATTTTATT